AATATATATATATATATACATATGTATATATGTTATATATGTACATGTAGATATAAAACTTAAATATTAATGGTAATACCTAAGGGAAAAATAAATGTTAACATATGACCAATATGGCAACTCATTAAGAGAGGTAAAAATGATTTTGAACCAGGATAAATTCTCGCATCTTTACCTCTATAGCATGTATCTGAAAAGAGTTAATATCATGCTTGTAGACTTTGATAACACTACTAATACACTAACACGTAATGATGTAAGCACTGTTATCTTCAAAAGTACAATCTACCAGTGTGTTGTGAACACCAACTGACTCTGAATGTCCTGCTGTGTTATGAGGCCCCTTAAGACTCCAGTTATAACTCTTAGGGATTTACATTTGTGACCATTTCTGCCTCACTTTGTAACTTATTTTATGTTTCCAACATCAACTTGGTTGGTCAGGCACAGATAGGCTTATTATTACTTTAGGACAAAGTTAACAATAAGTGGAGCACCAGCCCCCACACGATTGACAGAGAAGTTGCCTTCTTTGCCAAGTTTTCTTCTGATTTCAACAGAAATTTTTCATGTTCACTCTTACTTTCTATCCTCTCCCTCTGCTCATTCTCTGCCTACCACTTCAACGGTCAATGGTGTCAAAGTACATTTACAAGTTAATAACCTATAGCAAGAGCAATAAGAAATGTTGAATATGACATGTCACAATAGTCATGATTAGAACCTAGAATTTACATTTCAGTTTATTTTCATTATTAAGAAAGAATTTATAGGGCTTATCAAAAGATGGTACCATACTTATGTTCAGCCTAGGAAAAAATATACTTTTGCTTACCTTTAATAATGTTGGGCTTTGGTGGCATGCTGAATTCATAAACTGTTGGTTCAGAATATCCCAATCTGTTGGCAGCTGTAATTTGAACTTCATATCCCATTGTCCACTGCAGATGCTCCAAAATGATGTGATCTTTATTTCCCTGAACTTTTTTCTCTAGCCATTGATCTTCCTTATCTTTCTGTAAATGCAATAAAAATATATTTTGGAAATATTCATACACCAAAGTTGTGATTTCTTTTATATCTTTAAAATTTCTTTTACAGCTTTATTGAGATATATTTCATATGCCATGAAATGTAATTAAAATGTACAGTTAAATTTTTTTCTATATTCACAGAATTGTGCAATCATTACAATTATCTAATTGTAGAACATTTTCAACATCCCCAAAAGAAACCCTCTACTCATCGGCAACCACTCCCCTTTCCTGCTCCCCACCCTCACACCAACTACCAGCCCCAGGCAAATGTTTATGGCAGCACAATTCACTATTGCAAGGATGTGGAAACAACCCAAGTGCCCGTCAATCCATAAGTGGATTATTAAAATTTGGCATATGTATACAATGGAATATTACTCAATCATAAGAAACGACAGTGATCTAGAACCTCGTATACTTTCCTGGATTAAATTTAAGCCCATTATTCAAAGTGAGGCACCACAAGAGCGGAAGAATGGGCTCCACTTGTACTCGCCATCAAATTGGTACTAACTGATCAACACTAGGGTGATCACATGGCAGAATGGCATGGATCTGCCATGCCATCCATGTGATCCATGTGATCACATGGATCACATGGCATCCACTCTCCAGGGATTAGGGGGATGGGGGGGGTAAATCCGCAACTAAGTACACGGGGAGCACTGTAGGGGGGAACGGCATGCCTTTAACCCGCACTTGGGTGAGGCAAAGACATAAAGTCTAACCATAATGTTTGCACCCTCACAATACCTTGAAATAAAAAAAAAAAAAAATGCTAAACATATAGTTACCAAATTACACAGCAATTCCACTTGTCAGCATATATGCCAATAGAAATGAAAACATATGTCCACACAAAAACTTGCATATGAATGTTCATGGTAGCATTTGTATATAATGGCCAAAAAGTGAAACCAACCCATGTCCATGAACTGAAAAATGGATAAACAACATGTGGTATATACATTTTATGGAATATTATCAGCCATAAAAAACAATGATGTACTGACACGTGGTACAGTATGGATGAACCTTGAAAACATCA